GATTGCAGTTTATATATCTAGTGATATATTTTATGAAAGGTTCTTTGTTTCATCCTACTTTATTTTCTGATATAAAGCATTTTTCTTTTCTTTCTCATCATTAAGCTTTTTTAGCTTTCTCTTGTGAAGCATCCTTTTAATCAAAAGGTAGATGGCTAGACAAACTGATACAGCCAGATTTAGTTGGTTTAAAAAAATGTTAATTCCTATGATCCCAACTATTAACCATCCAAGATTTGTCCTTAGATCTCTACAGTATTCAATAATTATAAAAAGATTCTTACAGTGTATTTTCAGTAAAATAATCTTGAGAGTAAGGTAATAGGCAATATGATACTAAAAGTATAGTAGTTTCGTTATAAATCTCAAAAAATTATTGATTTTTCGTGTCAAATGGAAAGTAGCAATATTGGAAAATTAAAAGAACCAAACTAGAAAAGCATAAGATAAAAACTTGAAGAAAAGGATAGGATCCAAAGAAGATTATTGCAAATCCATACAAAAATCTTCTCGCAAAGAATAGGAATATATACGTATCCTACTATCTTTCAACATTTAGATAAAGAGATCCATACTTGTCCTTAAATTCTTATCTCGGTAACTCATCTAATATTTGAATAAATTCAGTTTTATAATTACAAAGATGTTTTCTTAAGAAGTTTAAAATAATGAAAGGAATCAATAGCAAACTAAGAAAAATTGTAGCAGCAACTATGGTATTTAAAACATCATCATAATTAGTCTAAATTGGAAGTTTTAAATATCTTTACATTCAACAAACCAATATTGGCAGCTATTTGAAAATTCAAGTAACCTTTAATTAATGATCTTGTAAATGCATTATAACAAATCTTTTTGTACAAAAATTAGAATAGCTTTTAAAATCTAAACATCAAAAACTATCTTAATCAACTAAATTACATTGAATATTTCTTTTTCAGAAAATAAACCGATAGTAATATCAACCCCAAAATTCCTAAAATAATAATCACAATAAATACTGTCCCAACGTTTTCTAAAACATTTGTAGATTCAAAACTTATTTATAGATAAGAAATAAATTGAAGGTCAAAAGCAGTTCAAATATTAAAAGATATCCATTATAATAAAGTTCACGTTTTATTTTACAGTTCCTTAAGTCTCAAATAAAAATTTTCGAACGTACTCATTAATTGTGTCCTTTGGAATAAAATTAAGATTAGCAATATCTATTAGGGCTTTGCACATTATTGTTATATTAGCAGGAAGTGAAAGCCATAGCAAGGGAATCATAACCAATATCTATAATGTGTTTAGAAGCATCCATAGGTTTTTCATACTAACTCCTAGCACTATGGATAGAATCAAGTTAATTGTAGTGGATCCTGTAATTGATGAACTAGCTACATCAGCCATTGCAGCTAACGCTTTTATTGCAGCTATAAATATTAATAATAAAGTATGGATTACTTGAATTATAAGTTTAAGGTGGTATATTACTCTCAATTATATAATTTTATTTGATAATTTGATCTAGATTTTTTGATACATAAAATTATGTAGCATTGAAGGTAATTAACAAATTATCATATTTCTATAATTTTGTCATTTTAAAACAACTTACTTGACTAAAAGATATCAGTTTCGGATTCTCAAAATAGAGCTGAAGTGATAGTAAGTTGTTTTTGTATGAAATTACTTTCCAATTGTTAATTATAGTTATATTATCATTCTACTCTATCCTAATTATTATTGTCTTATTATCATGCAGAAGATTTGAATCATTAAAATTTAGCATATCCTTAGAAAACTTTAATTACACTTGCCCATCAATTGAAATTTATTTAATAGAAGCCTTCAAATCCTATTTAAGTTTAGAGAGGTTTATCATCTTTCCACCATAAATATCAACTTAGCTTGTCTAATATACTAGATTAGAACTGAGTAATAAAATAAATTCTGCTTTTTAAAATCCATAGAAAGACCTTCCAATTACTTTTATCACGTAATTTTTTCCATCTAATTTACTATTGTCAACTTTAATTTTGAATGTTTTACTATTTGAATCAAAATCGACTACATCTGCTATAGGCAAAGATTATTCCTCATTAAGAGCTTCATAGGTAAAATCATTGCATTCACTTATTGTAGATTTCCAAGAGACAAATTTTACTAGCATCTCTCCTGACCCAATTATATATAGCACATCTTTTATTGAGGAAGGTTTGATTTAAGCATTCTTACAGGGATTGAGCATTATCAGAATAAAAGAAGCGTTTGAATTGTAAGCTTATGTGTATCCTCCAATAGTAATCAAATATTCCCCCTCATCTTTGATATCTTAGGAATTAATAGAAATTTGTTGGAATTTTCGATTATATTGAATAAATTATGGAAATGTTTGGCTTTCCTCTACAAAAGCTTTTACTGTTAGCTCACTGCAAAAATTAGGTAATGGTATAGTGTAAAATGCTTTGTGCGAAAATATTTTTAATCCGCTACCTATTTTGTAAGAATAATCTTCAATTTAAGGTGCTTATATACCAGTACAAGTTATTTTTTCTTTGATTTAAAGAGTGAATATATATGAAACAGTTTGATTCATGTACATTGCAGTGTAGTTAAAATCATATGATCCAATAGAGCTAGTAATATTTGATTAAACTTAGATTTTTAAGGTATAATCTATATTCTGAATCAACTTAATGAAAGTCGGTTAGGAAGGATAGCTGAGACTTCTAACTGAGTGCTCTATATTTTACGGGCAAATCAGATCAGGTAACTAGTTTAAAGTAGATTATTGAAGTTAAAATTCTTTGATGCTATCATTTAAATAATATGTAGTCTCACTGTTTGAGATTAAACTCAACTTCAAATCTTGACATGGATTTATTATCTTTATTGTTTTATCAACTTAAAGGTATCTGCCATTGTAAATGCTTCCCTTTAGAGTTATTGTGAATACTTAGGTAAGGATGCTAAGATTTATTCCATAAATTCTAACTGATCTCTCTGTGAGATTAGCTGTAACAAAATTGCCCGAAATGAAGGTATTATTGAAGCTTATACTATATTCATATTCTCCGCATTTGAAAAATTCATCATTCCATTTATTAAAAGTCAAAATTATTGCTGAATCTCCTATTTTGTATTGGCTAACTAAAGTTGTTATTATAAATCAAATAAAAATAGACTTACCTAGTTCATTGAATGTATTTGATGTTAAATCAGCATTCAAGCAGAAAATGTCATCAATAGTTACACTGAATACAGGAGTACAGTTTTTTTAAGAAGATCCTTATTTAATCCTTATTTGAATTTCAAAAGTAACAGGACTTCCACCGTTAGCTATGCTTAAGTTAAAAGTTTAATTATTAGCAAATGCATTGAAGCTGTAATTCTAGCCATCGCCTTAATAATCTAATGTAAAAGGATCTGCAATTTAATTAGTCAATATTAGATTTTCTACAGTTGATGGCATTCTAATGATTTCTTTATAATAAATCAGGTATTATAAGCATTAAGTGTTTTTAGGCATACAAGTTATATTCGTCAAATTAGATTTCCCTTAGTTCAAAGAGTAAGTAAAATTATTCATTAGGGACTGTTAAGAAATAGGAACTGTGAGGCAGGCAGTTTATAATGAAATTTAGCTTATGTTAAATACATTAGTTTCAAATGCCAATGCGGTAGCGTTAACACTAGCAATAATTTTATATTTTTTTACTAAATCCTATGTTCCATTATTTGATTAGATTTTTATGCTTGTGTTATCAAATACTATTGGGAATGCATTCTGAATCCCTAAATCATCTACTAGTTTATAGGTAATCAAACAATTTTTTCCACCTATCACTGTAAAGCTATACTATTGCTGCTTTTCTGGGTATCCATATATGTAAGTCATGTCATAAATCTAAGGAGTTACAACTTGTACTTATGCTGTATTGCATGGTTCATCTTGTACTATCACCTTGAAATAGATTGTTTGGTTTTTTGGATTGATTTCTCCGTTATATTAAGGTAAATATAAATTTCCTACAAGACTTAAATTGTATGTACCAATTTATGTGCTCAAAGTTGGGTTACAGCTTAAAACCATTGAAGTTTAATTAAAGGTAAAAAGACCAGGTCCAGAAGTTTATATTAAAGAATCAAGTGAAGCATCTGATAAAGTATATGTAATTGAGCAACCTGTTGTATTGGTGCTAAAGGAATTTAGTGTAAAGTTTTGTATTCCTCCATTCAAAGTAAATGTTTTATCAGGCTGAGAGGTTCCAGCTATTGATGCATATAAACATGCTCCTATTAAAAATAGTTAAATTTCTACTTCAGCACTTTACTCGTTGTTAATTCTACCCTTCATTTTTATTGTATATATTCCTGAGAAAGCTTAATTGTTTGTAAAAATAGTGTACATTCTTGTAACGGAGGTAAATGTAACAAAATTTTATACAGTGCTAATATCACTAGTATATTTGAACACTACATCTAAACAAGTCTATTGTAGAGTAAAAGCTGGAACTGTAAAATACATAGCTGTGGTTCCTATCGTATAAACTTTATTAGTTACTGGAGTTGTTAATATTGTTTTGTTTGAAGTAGTAATTATTTGAGGTACAATTTAAGTTATAGCCTATGTTAATGACTTGGTACTATAAAGAATATTCTATGTTACTGAGGAAAACTAATTTGATAATGATGAATAGGAATAGGTCAAAGTTTCATTTGAGATTGATTCTGGACTAGTCAATGTATTAGTTATTATGATTTCACTTGAAGATGGGTCAATGTTCATAAACCAGCCTATATTTTTTACAAACGTTGTGGTTTTTTGGTCTTCACTCGTCAATGTTTATATTGTTCCAACATAGAGAACTTATAATAAATCCATCCAACCACCTATAATCTTATTATTTAATCCTTATGTGTAATAATTGATATCTTTATAGCGTTATTTTGAGGCAGAATAATTAGCTTCTCCAAATCTTAGTTAAACATTGTTTTAAGCTACTAGATATCTAATTGTATTGCAATTAGTTGCCTTAACTTAAATGCATTATGTAAAACCATTTATTAAGCTATAATGATTGTTATTAAATAAGATATCGCTTACGTTGATGAGCCAGCACTAACAATAGTACGAAGGGCATTTACATTTAGTTATAGAATTAATATCTTTTCGCCATCTTCTGCACAAGCTGCAATACATTTCCCAGAGGTTTCTGATAGATAGTCTAGACTTATGATAGAAAATTATTGATTTCTTGTTGTATTTCTACAGAAAATAATTAATATTTAACTTCATTCTTAAATCTTACCAAATTGTAAATATCTATTAGACTGTTCCAGTATATTATACGTTCACTAATGCAGTGTAATAGTTGCCTCCACTATCTTTTAAAATCCCGCCATAATAATAATACTAAGATAATTCTTCATCATTTACAATTGCATTTGCCAATGTACCATTCTGAGGCCATTTTAAATAGAAAACTGTATTCTTATTTGCAAGAGCAGAGCTGAATTTTAAAATCTAAAAGTTTTAGATATTTTGTTCATGCATTGAAAAGTATAAATTTCCATTTCTTTCATATTTAAAACCACTTGCAGGAATATAACCTTTAATTCCACTACTTGAAGTAAAAAATGCTGTTATTGTTCCTATTGATGATATTAACATTACATTAAAAGGATCAGTAGAGGAAGGAGTAGTTTGAAGAGATAGTGCTATTTAGGTTGTAGATATATCTTTGAAGCTTATTGCTGATACTGAAATATATGATAAAATATTTAGAATCATTGTCCATTGAAATTCTCCTCCTTTCTTTACATATACTATCAAAGGCTTTTCTCCAGATAATAATGAGATTTAATTGTCACTTGTTGAACCACCTATTATAGTATTTCCTAATGAATCCTAATCTACTGAATTAAATTAGGTACTATCTGTATTTCCACCAACCAATCATGGGTATAAGTTTGAAGTGAAGCATAATTATTGATATGATGGCTATTTAGAAATATATAAAAGTAGTAAAGAAATGCTACCTTAAAAAATAATGCAAAAATAAGTATGATTAGCTTTACGAGCATGAAGTAAAAATATATAATTATAATAATTATAAATTAAAATCTTTATTTAATCCACTTTATTCTGCAATTTCTGCATATAAGGGGTTTTGGGGTTTTGGGG